CTCTTTGCTTCAATCTATTTACAAAAGGGGGAGGCGGACTTCCTGTTTGAAACCTCCCCGTTTCGATACCAAATTAAAACGTTTAAAAATCCAATTTTCCGTTCTACTCACAGGTAGTTGTTTTGAGATCAAATTGTCCACAGGAAAAAGTCAGCGCTCTCCTGCAACAGCAATGCGGCTTCACTCCGTGAAAAAAGCAGTTGATTCAAAGCACCGCGCCACTCACCCCACCTCGCTCCGGATCCCCGAAACCGGGTTTCCCCACGGGTAGGGGAGGCGCAAAAGGTGCCAGCCGAATCACACGTCCACAAGCTTCTCCCGCCTGTGGTTTTTGATGGGTCTCTGCCTTCGCCGTGGCGGCCAGACCCTAGTTTCACGGAGCGGGTTCCTCCCGATCAGAGGAATTCCGCCATTGCTGGAGGCACTAACCCGGAAGTCTCATGGGAATCTGTTCCATTGCTGAACAGCTCTTACTATCAAAAAGTTTTTCTGAATGTTTCATCGGAATCTCCTTTCTTGCAACTTGAAGCCATTGCCTTGAGTCCTAGCCTCCAGAGCAGGAGAAAGCAAGCATGCTCCCATTTCCATGTGAAAGCCCTTAAGTTATTTGAAGATGGCTATCATATCTCTTCTTAGTCTCCTCTTTTCCAGGCTAAACATACCCAGCTCCTTCAAGCATTTCTCCTAAGACCAATTTCCAGGCCCTTGATCATCTTTGTTGCCCTCCTCTACAACACATTCCAGCTTGTCAACATCCTTCTTAAATTGTAGTGCCCAGAATTGGACAAAGTATTCCAGGTGTGGTCTCACCAAGGCAGAATAGAGTGGGACTATTATTTCCCTCTATGTGGACACTATATTTCTGCTGATGCAGCCTAGAATAGCATTCACTTTTTTTTGCTGCTGCATCACACTGTTGACTCATGTTAAGCTTGTGGTCCACCAAGACCCATAGATCCTTTTCACATGTACTGCTAGTAAGCCAGGTGTCCCCCACCCTATATTTGTGCATCTGATTCTTCCTGCTTAAGATGATGAGGAACCATTAATGAGTACTCTTTGGGTTCAGTCAGTCAACCAGCTACAAATTCACCTAACATTTACCACATTCAACCCGCATTGTTCTTATTTTACAGAGTTATCTCTAATTAACATTCATTTATTAGCAAATTTCTTGTCCTTCAGCTGTCCCTTTACCAACTCCTGCATAGAGGAATTATATCAAATGACAACAAGTGAGGTTATACTAATTTAAATCTTTCATTCCTCTTTTCAACTTGCATAATTCCATTTTCTCATCCCTGGTAGTTTTCATTCTGTGAAGACACATCCTTTCATATGCAAGCCAGATTGTCTCAGTCTTTGTTATTGCCTTACAACATCTCAAGGCCATTATTTACATTCCGTTGGAGATAAGGCTTTTGCATCAGGCCCATTGTGTAAGAAAGGAGATTTTACCATGTTCCCTGGAAAAATCCAGCCATAAAAAACTTGGCCCCCTCCTTTCCTTTGTTGATAAACTCAGGGCAAATTTATCTTGCCACTTATAATTCCAGGGGAGCCTTTATACTAATATATCCGCTTCTTCAGGCCTACTCACTTCAATCCTCCATGACTTTTCCTTGATTACAACCATCAATTCCAGCCTTTCAAACATAAATTCAAATTCTGGCTTGAGATCTTTCACTAAAACAATACACTGCAAATTCGACTAGTCTCAAAGTTACCCAGCCCCAGTACAGCTCAGGCAAACACTTCTCCTCTATTTCTCTTAATAAGTCCTGAATACGCAGTTGTTATTCATTTCATTTTCCATTTTCCAATAGCACTTTCCTCACTTGTGAGGGTGTAGTAAAACAAAGCCTTGGCAAATTTCGAGTAATACATAAAAGAATCTGCCCCACTCCCCCTAATTCCAGTTAACAGCAGAGGTTGTGAACAGACCTCCCAAACTAGGGCATTTAGCAGGAGAGTTTAAGGGGGAGGCCCAGAACTCTGTCTCTCAGTGTGCATAGGACCAGAGACATGGAGGGAGAGGGAGCTGCTGCAGTGATCTGTAACACCTGTGCCATCTTTGTCATTCTGCCAGAGAACAAGCAACAGTACACTTGTAGCAAGTGCAAGCTAGTTGTCTTGCTGGAAGAGAAGGTGCAGCAACTTTAGGCCCAAGAAGAGAGAGGAAAATACTTGAGGTAAACCACTGGCGGTGCAGGTGGTGTCATCAGGAACAATTTGGCTTCTTGGATCATGGTCTCCACTTCCTTGATCCTTCTAGCGAGAGATGAGCCTCACAGCACAGCAGTTGGCAAGAATGTGTTTGCCAAGATTCTTAAGAATCTAATCAGGAGAGCTTTAAACTAGATCTTGAGGAGAAGGGAGAAAACAATACGTACAACAAAACAGAACCTGGCACTGGGGGTAAAAGCTTCATGAAACTGAGGTGGTGCTCCAGAAACCTGCTAAAGGACAAGAAACTACAGGAAGGATGAAGGTGTAGGGAAAACTTATGGTTTCAGTTGTCTCTACACAAATGCACAGAGTATGGGAAACGAACAAGATGAACTGGAGCTTTTAATACAGGATGGGAAATATGACCTGGTAGGCATTACTGAAACTTGGTGGGATTAGACTCATGACTGGAATGTAGGAATTGAGAGGCATAACCTGTTCGAAAGGAATAGACCAAACAGGAAAGGAGGAGTAGCAGCATTATATATAAAGGATGTTTACACTTGTGAATAAATCCATGACCTGGAGTATGAAAAGCAGATTGAGAGTACATGGGTAAAAACTGTAGAAGAGAGAAACAACAGTGACTTTACTGTGGGTGAATGCTATAGACTGCCAAGACAGACTGAATGCTTTGATGATGCCTTACTAGAGCAGATTACTAAACATTCAAAAAGGAGAGAAATAGCAATCATGGGGGACTTCAACTTGCCTGATATCTGTTGGGACTCAAGCTCTGCCAAGAGTGTAAAGTCTAACAAATTCCTCCATTTCCTCACTGACAATTTCATTTCCCAGAAGGTGGAAGAACCAAAAGGGGATCATCTATCTTGGACCTGGTCTTCACCAATAGGGAGGAACTGACTGATGAAGTGGAAGTACTTGGAAACTTTGGAGGACGTGATCATGTTCTCCTGGGTTTCAGAATACAGAAGCAAGGGATAACTGAGTGTAGTCGGATACACATTTGGACTTTAAGAAGGCCAATTTTGAAAAACTGAAGGAGCTACTGGGTGTTATCCCATGGTCAGAAATACTCAATGAGAAGGGAGTCCAAGAAGGATGGGAGTTTCTAAAAGGAGAAATATTGAAGGCCCAGATGCAGGCAATATGAACAAGAAAGAAAAGTGGGAGGCAGGAGAGGTTAGAAATAATAAAAAAAAGGTTTATTTGGTTATGTCCAAAGTAAGAGGAAGAACAAGCAAGTGGTAGGTCTTCTGCATGGGGAAGATGCAGAAATGCTATTGGGTGGCAGAGAAAAGGCAGAACAATTCAACACCTATTTTGCCTCCGTCTTCACCTAAAAGGAAAGCAGTGTCCAACCTGGTGATAACAGAATAAATGATGTAAGGAGGGAGCTGCAGCCCTAGATAGGAAAAGAGCTAGTAAGGGAACATCTAGCTATGTTAAACAAATTCAAATCTCTAGGGCCTGATGATCGGCATCCGAGGGTACTAAAGAAGCTTGTGAATATAATTTCAGAGCCTTTGTCTATGATCTTTGAGAATTCTTGGAGAACATGTGAGGTCCCTACAGACTGGAGGTAGACAAATGTCATCCCCTTGTTCAAAAAAGGGGGAAAGGAAGACGCAGGTAACTACTGACTGGTGAGCTTGACATTGATACCAGGGGAGGTCCTAAAACAGATAACTGAACAGTCGGTCGGTGAACATTTAGAAAAGGATGCTGTGATGACTAAGACCCCAAAATAAATCCTGTCAGATCAATCTGATTTCTATTTTTGATGGAATTACAAATTTGGTGGATCAGAGAAATAGTGTATCATGATTTCAGTAAGGCTTTTGACAAAGTCGCGTATGATATTATGGCGAGGAAGCTGGTGAAATGTGGGTTGAACGAGGTAACTGTTAGGTGGATTTGTAGCTGGTTGATTGACTGAACCCAAATAGTACTCATTAATTGTTCCTCGTCACCCTGGAAAAAAGAGACAGAAGAGGTCCGCAGGGTGCTGTCCTGAGCCCCTTGTTATTCAACATTTTTATAAATGACTTGGACGGAGGAACTGAGGGTGATGCTCATCAAATTTGCAGATGACAACAAACTGGGAGGGGTAGCTAATATCGCAGAAGAAAGAATCAGAATTCAAAATGACCTTAACAGATTGGAGAACTGGGCGCAAGCTAACAAAATGAATCTCAATAGGGACAAACGTCAGGTTCTGCACTTAGGCAGAAAAAAACAAGATGAACAAATACAGAATGGGGGACACCTGGCTTACTAGCAGAACATGTGAAAAGGATCTAGGGGTCTTGGTGAACCACAAGCTTAACATGAGTCAACAGTGTGATGCAGCCTGGAAAAGTGGAGACTGAGAGGAGATATGATAGCCATCTTAAGGGGTGTCACATGGAAGCAGGAGCATCCTTTTTTCCTCCTGCTCTGGAGGGTAGGACTCGAGGCAATGGCTTCAAGTTGCAAGAAAGGAGATTCCAACTAAACATTCAGAAAAACTTTCTGACAGTAAAAGCTGTTCAGCAATGGAATAGAATCCCACAAGAGGTGATGGACTCTCCTTCCTTGGAGGTTTTTAAGCAGAGGTTGGATGGCCATCTGTCATAATGTTATTATTATTATTGGTTTTTATTGACTTGTTGGTTGGTTTGTTGCTTGTGTGGATGTTTTGTTTTTTAATGTTTGATGTTTTGTGTTTCATATGTTGTAAGCCTCCTAGAGTGGCTGGGGAAACACAGCCAGATGAGTGGGGTATAAATTATTATTATTATTATTATTATTATTATTATCATTATTATTATTTCTGGTCTCCCTTCCCTTTTTTAAAAGTCTCTAGGCCTGAGAGTTTTAAAAAAGGGAAGGAGACCAGAAATAACAATATAATAATAATAATACATAATAATAATAATAGTTCTTGGGAGAAAAGCAATAACAAACCTAGACAGCATCTTAAAAAGCAGAGACATCACCTTGCCAACAAAGGATCGTACAGTTAAAGCTATGGTTTTCCCAATAGTGATGTATGGAATTGAGAGCTGGACCATAAAGAATTGATGCTTTTGAATTATGGTGCTGGAGGAGACTCTTGAGAGTCCCATGGACTGCAAGAAGATCAAACCTATCCATTCTTAAGGAAATCAGCCCTGAGTGCTGACTGGAAGGACAGATCCTGAAACTGAGACTCCAGTACTTTGGCCACCTCATGAGAAGAGAAGACTCCCTGGAAAAGACCTTGATGTTGGGAAAGATGGAGGGCACAAGGAGAAGGGGACGACAGAGGACGAGATGGTTGGACAGTGTTCTCGAAGCTACCAGCATGAGTTTGACCAAACTGCGGGAGGCAGTGGAAGACAGGAGTGCCTGGCGTGCTCTGGTCCATGGGGTCACGAAGAGTCAGACACAACTAAACAACAACAACAGGCCTGAGAGTAGCCCTTCCCCTGGCCCGCTTTTTATTTCCATCTAAGTAACAGAGCCTACACTCAGCACTGCCTTGCATTACTCATTGCCTGTGGGTTGCTTTGAGAGACAGGTTTTGTGTGAGGAAGTAGTATAACAATATAATTAATAAAATAAGGATGCATAATGAAGAGTGGGGCAGGCTGATTATGTTGCTTGATGGCATGCTGAGCCACAGGAATAATCTTGCTGGCTGTGCTCTTGCTACAGAGTCTAATCCAATAGAGTAATTTTTTTGGTTTATTTGTTTCTTACAGTAAGTCCAATACCGTGCGCCTCTGCTTTAATTAGATCCTGCAGGTACACAAGGCACCATCTGCCTTGTCTCAACCTTCAAACAAACAGCGTTATCCATCTGATGCATCCTTCAATTCCCCTCATTATGGCAAGTTCATCTACGTGCCTTAACGCGGTTACACTGAGGCACAAGAGCTCCCCCTCTCCCCCCAGTTTCAATTCAATTTGCTGACATTTGTTTATGGAGCAGCAACCGACTACTGACCTCAAATTAAGTCAGGAGAAGAGCGGGGGGGGGGGGGGGGAGAGAGTTGGCTGAGCTGATAGGGTTCATTGCAGCTAGGGTTTTGTTTGCTTTTAATCAAAATTTCTAATGAATGCAAGTGGTGGGGAATGCAAGGTAAGGCTGTGTGAATGCAACAGGGGTGTGAAGAATTGAGATGCCTTAGAATAATTGCGAAGAAAAAAGATCAAAGAGGGGCCCCTCCATCTTCAGCAGGCTCATGTTATTCTTAGACGACATACCCATAACGATCAAGGATTCCCCTTGAGTCAACTGAATTGAGTTTTCAGCCTTAGCCAGTGGTGTCCAAACTTTTTTCAAAGAGGGCCAGATTTGATGAAGTGAAGGGCCGCGAGGGCCGACCAAAGGGCCAACCAAAGTTGTTGGGCCAAGGGATGGAAAGATCACAAGGCTCCAAAAATAACAGATTGGCAAATCAAATTACAGGAATTGGTGGAGATGGCTCAATTGACTAGCAAGCTCAGAAGAAACTCAAAGCAAAAATTTGCAGAAAAATGGGATGGTTATAGAAGATTTGTTCAAAAATACAATATTAGTTTTGACTCCGTGCTAGCATTCGAGTGATAAAGGAACTAAAAGGAGGTGGACAACAATTAAGGATTTATTATGTTTTCAGAATGTATTGGAAAATTTATATAGAAAGGTTTGTTGTTTCATGTACATTCGATTGTAAGATAAAATATATGCAAAGGGACTTGACAGGAAGTCAAAGTTGAAGAAAAGATTTTGTAAGATAAAAGGGGGGGGGAAATATTTACTTTCATTATTATCATTGTGTGTGTGTGTGTGTGTGTGTGTGTGTGTGTGTACAGATGTGTGGAATGTTTGGGAGGTAAATAACAAATAATAAACTAAATATTAATGTTTGTAATTTTTATTTCTCAATTATATTTAGTGGTAGTATGGTTGTATTGTTCTTTGTAACATAAAATCATTCAATAAAAATTATTTTTAAAAACAGGTTTTTTCTTAGGATTGAAGTTGTTCAGCTTTTTTTAGGATTTTACCCCAGGAAATAAACTCCACAGGGGCCAGATTAAACTGACTGGTGGGCTGGATTAGGCCCCCGAAATGGACTTTGGACATGCCTGGCCTTAGCTGTAGCCTTCAGGGCAACATTATTCATCTTCCCCATCCCACAAGGAACATTAGGAGAATACTATAGAGGTTACATCCAACTAATTTGTTCATGGAGTAGACTCGATGAAATTATTGATGCCCATTGTTTTCACTGGGTGTACTTTGAGTAGGAATTACATTAGATACAACCATTACAGCTCTTTTTTGCAGGGTGGGGGACCAGTTTGTAGAAACCCTTGTCCCCAGAGGTCCAGTCGCAGACGACTCTGGGGTTGTGGCGCTCATCTCGCTTTACTGGCAGAGGGAGCCGACGTTTGTTCACAGACAGTTTTTCTGGGTCATGTGGCTTGCATGACTGGTGAAACCAGAGCAGCACACGGAAACACCGTTTACCTTCCCACCAGAGCGGTACCTATTTATCTACTTGCACTTTGACATGCTTTCAAACTGCTAGGTTGGCAGGAGCAGGGACTGAACAACGGGAGCTCACCCTGTCACGGGGATTTGAACCGCCGACTTTCCGATCGGCAAGCCCAAGGATCAATGGTTTACACCACAGAGCAACCTGTGTCCCTCTGGGTGAGGTTTAGAGACATACATATTCCAACAGGTATTTTAGATGTTTCTGGTTGATTACACACATACATTTATATATCTGCAGTTCTATCTGCCCTTAATTATTTATATATGCTTGCTTAGATTTGTAATTTTACTGACTGATATTGCAGTCAACACACACCTCATTTAGTTATAGCAATAGCAGGCCACACCCCTCTCCAATAGGCTTCACACTTATAGCCAGTGTGGTGTAGTGGTAAAGTTTTAGACTAGGACTTTGGAGATAAGATTTCAGATCCTCACTCAGCCAGGAAGCCTGTCACTATCTCTCAGCCTAATACCATACCTCACAGATTGAAAGGATGAAATGGAGAGGAGGAGTTCCATGCATACCTTCTTGAGCTCCATGAAGGAAAGATGGAAAAGAAATATGTAATAATAAAATAAAAAATACATCTCTGAAGCTGTTGCATTTCAAGAGAAGCTTATGGTGGCAAAACTGTAGAGCTAAAAAGAGACATACATAGAGAGAAAACCAAAACCAGTTTGGCCCCTAAGATTACCTCTAGAAAGGTGCTGAAATAGAAGCATCCAAACTTTCCAACTTGAGTCCTAAGATAATTTTGATGGTTTATTATATTTTTTATATCTGTTGGAAGCCTCCCAGAGTGGCTGGGGTAACACAGTCAGGTGGGTGGGGAATTATTATTATTATTAAACTTAAAGATTTCTTGTCTGCTCCTTGCCCTCCTGAGCAGCAGCCTACAATGCACAAAAAAGCCTCTTCAGAACAATGTGGGGTGGGGTGGGGTGGGGTAAACTTCCTTAAGTTAATTTATTTAAGGATCCAAGCCTGGTTTTGGGTGATGCCCTCTTCCTCCAGCAGCCCCCCTGCCTGCTTCACCCCACAATATTCAGAATGACCTCTGCACCTCAAAAAGTTTTTGGGAGGCACAGGTGGCTACAAGGAAGGATGAAGGAAAGGGAAAATTTCCTTTCATGAACTTCTTTGAGTTAGCTTATGTTAGGAGCCAAACCTCCATAATAGATCAGCCTGCAGTGGAATTCTTCCTTGCGGGGAAGCTGCCCTCCACAGCTCCTGGTTCTTGGAGAAGGGCAAGCAGCACCATTCTTCTTCCTAGTAAGCTGCAAGACTTTGCCTTCAACAGCATCTTAAAAGAAAACACAAATGTCTCTGACCCAAGTCCTGTTTCTGCTGTGAGTCAGTTGCTATACTTAATTTATATCCTCCAGTGCCAAAGGGGGATTTGCAAGACTCTAAGCTAGCTAGAAATGGTTGTTTTTAGAAGAGGAGTCATACCATTAAATATATGGTATTATGAATCACCCAAAACATCATCTGATTTGCTCTTAAATGTGTAAGATGACTGACTCCACACACACACACCCATGTGCACCCACAGAGGGTGGAATTGATGGATCACTCCCCCCCCATCACCACAAAGCATATTCTGTTAATTAGTTTTGACACAAACAAGACAAAAGGATATTCACATCCTGCTTTACATTAAGCATCTTTATACAACAAGCCATTAAGCAAATAAACGGCTTCCTCTGTTTTGTGTGTTGCAATGACAATTGCATCAAGGAGTGGTTATCATTTGTTGTTGGGTGAAGGGAATTGCTAGTGTTGTGTTTTGCAAACAAACAATACTCGTGCTGGCTTTACCTGTGGCCTGTTTTCAACGGACGCTGAATTATTCGCAATGGCAAGGGAGACTGGGAGTCTGCACCGAGGATGTAAAAAATAATTCACTAAGCGTATATTGGGCCAAGTGTCAACAACGTGGTGCTTGTAGGCACTAATGTGCCTGCCGGGAAATTGTATGGAGGCCACAAATGAACACTCCTCCTTACACATGCCCACATTTCATTGGATGTCAGAACTGACTAGACACCCAACTTCCTTTCTGTTCTGAAAAGCAGATATTTACAAAGAGTATCTATGAGTGAAGAAATGGCTGATGTAGATACCTTTCTCCCTTTGACAGGCGTGGGGGGCGGGGGTGGACATTTGTAGCCCAACAATATCTGGAGGGCCATATGTTCCCTGTTTCTGTTCTACACCGTGTTGGTGTACTAAATCCCAAGTTAAATGATATAATGTCCTGATTTACCAATGACAGGGATGCTAAAAGTATCAACCCAGGAACTCAACAGCTCCCAAGTGCAATGTTTTTGGTTACCTTTGCATGGGACCTCAAGTTTTCTTTA